CTGCAGTCTCTGAAGACACAGGATATCTCATCTTTCAACCAAAGGTTTGCTTTCCTATCCAGCTATAGACCCTTTCATCAGAATACAGAAGTTACATTCCTCCTGTGTTTGCACTCAGAAACCATAGCCATATATATCTGCGACAGGCAAAGCCCCAGCGGGCGCATGTTCTTCCAAACTCTGAAACGACTTCTTACATCGGCTCTAACCTTCAGGGAAGGAGAGTGCAGCCCACAAAATTTCTGCTTAGAACACCCTTTTAGGCCCTGGTTTGTTAATTTAACCATTTATGATGTTGTTTCTATCAGATTGAGAATCCAAAAACATTATCCTTGAAGATACTGTTTGAATATTATTTCATCATCCTAAGAAGAATTTTGAGGGGTTAGAACCCACCACCTTGCAAAGATTTCACACATTATTTTCCTGGACAGTTAACTACCACATTGAAAAATACCATCCTCTTGTAAAGCTGTCTAGGCCTTGAGGGGGTTGCTGTTCTTTCTCCAGCACTCTACCTTCACCCACCACCGCCTGTACCTACAGTATAATTCTCAGTTTCTACTTCAGTCTTTTCTATTCTTCTTCTTATGTAAGGGCTGCTAATGCCAGAGGATACTTAATAACCTTACCTAGGAAAAAAATTCTGTTCATTCACCTAGTTCTTCGAACCAGTGCTCATGTAGTCTTCATTCCACACATTTTAGATGAAGTTTCCCAGTTTATAACTGATAATAGATACCTACTGTAGTCGAATGTACTAATCCTATGTACGTTTGAGATCCCTGCTCTTAGACTCCCCATGTATCTATCCTGTTACTTAGCAATTCAAGAAATGATCTAATAAAGTTAATGGTTCATGAAGAAGGCATAAGTAAACTCTTGTAATGGAGTGTCTAGTTCACTTCTCTGTGCATGGAAAAAGGCATTTTAATGTACTAAATGAGTTTGAGTATTTAAACTCCGAGTAACCAACGTGAATTGTTCTCTAGATTTAAAGCAGTATTTGATAGACAACCAAAATCTTAAAGGTTTGGGTTCATTGACTGCTCCCTGCCTGGAAAGTATTAGAAATGTTCCATCCAATCACTTCAAAAGTATACAAGATAGAAGAGCTTTGTTATAGCTATCAGAAGGAACATAAAAGAAATATATGAAAGGTTGACTTTGGAATAATAAGAAATAGTTGGCTGAAAGAATTTTTTGAGTAGATTATGCAGAAACTGACAGACTTTCTGTTTTTATTCCAGGAATACCCCACTCAACAGAGTCCTATCTTCACAGGGAGAAAAATTATTGAACATGAGGAGGTTTGGAAGTCTCAACACAGGTAAATTATAGCATCCTCTGACATTTTAAAGTGATTTTAGAGAAAATATAGTGCTTTATTGACTGCATTGGAATTGATAGGACTAACCATAAACAAGGAGTTAGAGAGTCTTCTCAACTGTGTGAGAAATTGTCAAAACAGGGGCCAACAACATCACCGAACTACTGCCCCCTATCCTGTGCTGTCACCCTTTGGGGGGCATCAAATCTAACCTAACACAGTGCACCAGAAAGCCTTTCCTTTTACATGAACCTGTGTAGTAGATGGTGTAATGAAATATTCACAAAGCAGTCCTTTGTGTACTATAACAAATGCATCTTGCTTCAAGTTTTTCAAATTTAGGCTTTCACTCTCTTCTCTCAACCATCCCTCAAATGGAAATAGTTCCAGACCCTCCTAATGTCATGACAATTCTTCTGAAAGACCAACGAATATTTTCTAGAGTGAAAATCAAAGTGGATCCCTTGTCCCTAACTGTGAACCAGAGATGGGAATATATTAAGCTGATCTAGAATCCTTCGGTGATGAATTTGGTCAACTACTGTGTTCACTTTAGTTTAGCAATGTAGAAAGCATGGTTTTGTGATTTGTGTTTGTTTTGTGTTTCTCTCCTGATGAAACATTTAACGCTTTTTCATCTGTCAAAAGACAATTTTAAAAATTTAAGCTTCTTCTATGAGTGTCTTTTCAGTGGTTTAGGATTTTTGATCTCTTCCTTCTTTGTATATATGCTACTGAAGCAAACAGGATCCCTTTCTTTCCGATTGGAGTAGATATCAATTATTTTGTAATTCCTACTCTTTACAGACTGTGGTTATAATGTCTTTCTTATTTGAGGCAAGCTAATCTCATTTCCTTCCTCAATGCTATGATTTGAATTCTTAGATTCCTTGCCTTTTGGTGAAGGTCAGGTGTAGTAGGCACAAATGCTTTCTAACATCCTCTAAACGCAGGTGTTAGAAAATATCACCAGCGCAACAGAGTTTGGGTAAATCCTTACAGAAGGTGTGCAGGTTATGGGGGCTTTGTCTTCTGAATGGACTGACTCTTCCTCTACAGAAATACTATCAGAATACATGTGCCCCCTTCTGTCCTTCTAGGACATACAAACACTGCTCTTGTTCCCTGGAAGGTGCAGCTTGAAAATAGTGCTTCAAGAATCTGGAAGCCAACCGCACCAAGAATATGAACTTGGACTTCCCAACCTCCAAGTCTCCAAGCTAAAGATTAGCTTTGTTCCTTATAAATTACCTAATTTAATGTTCAGGGTTTCTTTTGACTTCTTCTCTTTTGTTGCTTTATTTGGGGATATTTTGTTTGCTTGAGTGAATTTTTATTGCTAAGAATCAAAACCCTGGCCTTGCACATGATAGGCAGGCACTGAGCCAGCTCTGGTCTGTAGTTTTCTGCTGTAGCAGTACAAACTGTAAGCCTACCGCAACCACCAATCTTGCCTCTTTGAGTGGCAGCCTGTAAGTTGGTTGAATCACTGTAAGGCCATGTGATTCAGTTATCATCCTGCCCTTTCCACACCTCCAGCTAGACAATGTGGTGGCATTCTTTAACAGGGGAAGCTATGAAATATGAGATGCAAGAACTCTGGAAGTTATGTCACTTGTGGGTGCAAAACTAGCCTGAGAAAATGAAACAGATGTATATTGAAAAGTAAAGATTGTTCAAGTCATTGTCAGAATCTTGGTTCCAGGTGTTCATGGAGCTTGGTTAGACTTTCAGTTTCTGCATGGATACATGAGCTAATTAATTATAAATCCAAAAAAAGAAACTTTTCCTGCAAAATAAGTCCTTACACATAACTTGCTATCTAAAGATTTTCTTTATTTCTCCTTCTCAACTTTGAGTCCTAGATTATCTTTTTTATTATTATTGTGCTAAATGACCCTAAAGTTGATGATCTACATACTATAAATTTATTGCCTTACAGTTCTGTAGGACAGAAGACCAATGGAAGTCTCAAAAGAGCTCATAAATCAACATCTTGTTGGTTGAATTCCTCTCTGTAGACTGTTGGGTGTTACTTTCCAGGCTGTGAATGCTGTCTGCATCCTTCAGTCCAAGGCTCACCTGTTCCATCTACAGGGACAGCCACATTTGTGTCCTCAGGCATCCTTTTGCAGTGACATTCTCCTACAGCTCTGATTTCAACTGCACAGTGTTCTTCTAAGAACTCTTGTGGTTAGGTTGGAACTACCTAGATAGTTTGCAACAGAGTCTTCATTTAAGGTTTCAAATTTAATAAATCAAAGTAATTAATTAATGTATTTATTTATTTTGTGGTACTTGGGATTGAACTCAGGACCCTGCACTTGCCAGGCAAGTGCTTATTCTACTGAGCTATCTCCCTGGCCCCCAGGTTTCCAACTTTAAACAGTTGTGCTAACTTTGCTGTATCATGAAATGCAACAAACTCCTTGGAATTTAGGTACACATAGCTTTGAGTAAGTGGCAGTACAATTTTGCCCATGAGTAAAAATTAGGAAAGCATTCCTTTTCTTACATTATTCAATTTAGCAATACAAACGTCAGGTAGAAGAAAGCAAAGCTGCCCTCCCCATTAGTAGTAATTATGCTAATCAATATTATTTGGGAACTGTTTTTGAGTTCAAATGTTTTCTTCAAAACTGTTTTACCAGCTGAAAATTTCTATGGGTTTTGTCACTTTTCCTGATAGTAAGTTTACTGCAGTTCACTTGATTTCCCAGCATACAGTCAGAAGGCAACGCTTGACATGTGGAATGAAAAGTATTTCCATGTCTGTATCTGGGCCTTGAAGCCTAGGGCTGCCTACTGTCCTTCCTGAGTGTAGAGTCCAGCCATCACTTATCTCTCTGTTGCACTAGCTGCTGCACTTCCCTACTGCTAGCACGGCATCAGCCAGGGCAGAATGCGTTTCCCACAGACACTGCACTATCTCGGCTTGATGAGCAGCCTGCGCCTCTCTTCAGCCAGCAGGCTGCCTTCAAGAGGCAAAGAGCTTGCATGAAGAGAAAGCTGAACACCATCCCAAGTCTTTAAAGTGCTTATGGAATCATTTATCCTGTAATGATCTCACCCTGTCTCTAATTTTATTGATTTTGTTTTTTAATAGAAGTGCTAAAGATTACAATTCTAAGGCAGACATAATGTGGGCAGATGCTCACACTCTCACATGCATTTCTGCCAACATATTTTTACATCTTTCTGCACATAAAACAAAATGAAGACATGTGTTATAGATGCATGCTACCAGCAACCAACCAGAAGTGCAGAGTTTATTGTATGCTCATTTCCTGGATGAAGTATTAAAATAATTCTACCTAGGAAAAATGAGCAGCACTTTCAAAAGAAAAGATTTGCTTCTGAGGCACCTTATGAAACATTCTTAATTGCCAAAACTTGTGAAGCTGGCAATGTGGGCCATCATATCCAAATGCTGTCTCTGCTATTTCTAATTCAATACAGACTTCACACCACATCTACTGGTTAAGCATCGAGATACAAAATGCTGCAACAGCTTAGGGCTCTGTGGATATTCACCCGTCTTCTGTGTTCATCAGAAAGGCTCATTTCATATACATGACATGAAAGGAAGTTAGCAAATTCAGGAAAGACTTGGAAATGATTCCTCAAGAAAAAGCACTCTGGAACAAAATCTGTGAAACCACAGCCTTACCTTGGGGGATGTAGGTGGGTCTGCTGCACTTTCTTCTGATACGGTGAGCAGGGTTGACTTGTTTTCCTTCACTGGGGGATGTTTGGGAGGAAGAGGAGGGGGTTGTGAGACAGAGCTTTCGTATCTGCGCATCATGTAATACTGTTCTTCCGAAATCTCTTCTACCAGAGCCCTGATGGTGTGTGAGCCTGTGCCCCTGGAGAAATTACCAACCGGCTGAAAAGTCATGTTCCAGCGGCTGATGGGAATCTCCCAACATTCCTCGGGGTTGGTAACATCACTTATGAGTAGGTAAGAGTCTGTGATATCTTCCTCCAGCTGCAGTCCTGGGGTCACAGCCAAAATGTCCTCTTCAATGGATAGATCTCTTACAGACACCTTCACGTTGAATGGCAAGCGGAACTGCTTCAAGAGCTCAGCGATTTGGTACTGCTTCTTGTCATGAATCACCTCTACAAAACCTCCTTCCAAGTATAAAGGAAGCCATGCTGCCTCATAGGACTTTCTGAGGATTTTTTTACAGGCCAGAATGTTCACCACTGTCTTTCTTCCCTCACAGAGGACTTCAGCAGTCTCTGAGTGATGCACTAGAAACTGGTCCCCAACAGACACAGAGGACAGCTCCTCATGAGGGGACTGAAAGGCCTTGGTGGTCACGACATGGAGGGACTCCTTCTTGCTCTGAGCTAGCTCTAGGTCATAGGCGGTTGGGAACTCCCGAGGCCGCCGCTTGAATTTGCCTTTGTAGCTACTGGGAATTAAGAAATGTCTTCTAGGAAAGTTGCTTCTAATTTCCGAGGCTAAGATCCTTGATGCCTGATACTTCTGATGGATCACAATGATTTTCCCAGGCTGTAAAATATTTCGGGGCAGCTGGTTTCCTTTAGGTGCTTCTATGACTTCAACTACTATGGGAAACTCTTTCCCAGTCATCTCAAGGAGATCTTTTGCAGATAACAGCTGAAGAAACCAGCTAGCATCGCAGGAGTCAGTGATGTCTTTGACTTCAACATCTAAACTGGGGAGAATGCGGACGATATTCTTCTGAACTGAAAAGGAAGGAAGAAAAGAGTGACATTTCCTGCCTCAGAAGGTTTTCTGTAGGAAAAAAACATATATATGTATGTACAAAATATTTAGCATAGATACACAACTACTTTCTCTTAGTGCAATGAGAAGAAAGTTTTGAACTAATAGTGTGTAGACAAGATATCACGTCTGCATCTTGTACTCTGAATAACTACTATAAAGACAACAATATGCAATGTATTAATTATTGTAACTGCCCTACTACCCTGTTTTGAAACTGTCTCATTGCTACTTCTTTCTCAATAGAATTAATATGAAAAAAGAATGTTTGCTGTGAGCTGCTTTCCTGTTGCTCCATTTCTGCTTTAGTTTGTACTTATACGAGGATGTGTTAGTAGTACAGGATCATTATATTAATCATGGGGAGTTGGTATACATGTATAACACTTTCTAATTCTTTCAGGAAAAAGAAGTATTCAAGTGATGCTAATAGACTGTGACAGGCGAGCTTCATTTACTTAAATTTTAAGAGGAAAGAGATAATACTTAGTACAGTTGTGCTGTATATTTTACATGCTCTTTGATCTGTTGGTCTGATTTACAACCTGTCTATATGATAATTAACTATATAAAGTTTTATAAGATAAACAAATGATTGTAATGTTGGAAAAATAAAAGGGGTAGGGGGAGAGGGGAGAAAAGAAGGAATTGAAATGTGTTATGACTTGTACCAATCCCCTACAGTGAATTTAATAATCATTAGATACTTCAAAAAAGCACTAATAAAAGTAAACAAAAATCTGTAACCCCGTGCATAATTAAGAAATAAACATTAACCAGCCCTTTGGAGCCTAATACATTTCCTCAAAATCCTCCTCCTCACTACTACCTAAGGACTACCATTCCCTTCATTCCAGTGTTAACCAGTCCTATGAACATACTTACAGTCTTATGATGTAACCTTGAATATATATACACATATATATGAATATGTGCATAAATGTGATACATGGAATCATAGAAAGTCATATTTTTGAGATCCAGACTTTACATGTAAAGTTATTAAGGAATAGTTTTGGTATCCCAGACAAGATTTTTCAAGGATAAAGCTCAACATGTATTTTCTTTTACTTACCTTGTGAGGTAAAACAATACTGCAGAATCACCAGATATAAAGTTCTTAAGATTAAAATATGGAAAAGGTTATCAAGTGCAATCTCTTTCAATGTCCAAGTGATTCCGCTTCCATTGGTGTCAGGTTACTCCTGACTAGGAAAAAGAGTGGTGATAGAAAGGCCATAGCCACTTAGAGACCTCAGCACAGTGACAGATACTTTACCACTGTGTCCCCCAGCAAAGAGTCACCATATTATTTTAATAATTCTTTAGGACCGTAAAGACACAGTGTCATGCTGAATCATAAATCTGTTGTGCATCGACTACTCACACAGTATCTTTATGAATCATACTGAATTAAAAATAAGATTATATATTAATATTAGCAGGACTTTATAATGGTTTGTGGTTTTGATGCCCTTCTGAAGTAAGTTTCAAGGCATTTTCATGATCTGCTTTTATTTCTTACTATCTCTAATCACTGTTAATATTCCTACTTTCATGTTTCTGAAATTGAACAATGTGAAAATCCTAGAAGATATAGTTTGTTATTATAAACATTCCTTTTGCTATCGATTTTCATATCACTAACTCTTTAAGGAACATCTGAAATTCTTAATGCTATAAATTGTATCATATATAGTCTGTGTAATAAAAGCTGTAAAGACATAGCATGAAAATTATTTTATTTTATTGAGAACAAAAGTTGAAATCAGTAGTTGCCTATAGACTGAAAAACTGTAAAGTTTTTCATTTTTTTAGGAAAAGTAGGAAGACTGAAAACAACATTTCTTATCCTTATCATTTTATTTCATAAAGTTTAGCATAGCCTAAGTTTTATTATGTATTCTTATCATATGTTTCCCTAAAACCAATTTTATGAACCAAACTCTTCTTATTTTGACCAAAATGAACTAGAGGTAATAATTCTGGAGTCAGCTCTTTTTAGGCATCCCAGGCTTATGTCACTCTTCCAGTCTAGGGAACTATATGAGATTGGTAGCATCATTAAGAGGTCCGGGCTCCCTGTGTTACCACACCAGATCATAGACTCCCTAATCCAAGTTAGACCCATCTCTGTTGTTGCACAGGGCATTGGCCAAGCAAGTCTTACTACCTTCGGAGGACTCTATTTCTGCAGGAGAAGGCTACAGGCCAGGCCACCTAAACTGAGTGAATTTTCTGTTTCTACTCACTGACCTACCCTTAATACTTCTGTTCCTAACTGGACTGAACTAATGCTAGTCTGTCACATTACACATCTCACACCAATAGCATTTGGCACAGTAGATTTGATTCCTTCTGCTTGGATATATTTTCCTCTTGCGATTCTTCTTAACTTTCATTGCAACTTTTTTTTCTCTCTAGACACAACCCATTACTCATACATGCAGCTGTAAATATGTCTTGGTTCTCTTGCTTTCTGAGTGTATAATCATACCTTGAGTGATCTTCTACAGTGCTGTGTTTAAATATTGATATGGTTCTGGGCCAAGGAGATAGCTCAGCAGTCTAACTACCTGCCTAGGTAAGCTCAAGGACCTGTGCTGGATCCCCAGAAGCACATGCCATGCCAGCCCTGGAAGCCCGGAAGTACTGAGCCAGCCATCAAGACCTGGCATGATGGCACACACCTATAATCCCAGCAAGGGGGAGACTGAAACAGGAGGATCGATACAAGTCGGAGCTGCATAGTGACACCCTGTACCAAATACATAAAATTTTTTAAAAAGACACACAGAAAGTCTATGTGGTTCTGTCCCCCAAAGGGAGTACAGAACATAATTCTTCTCAATTTCGTGTATGTGCTTTATTCATTTTAACACCTAGTGCATTCTCAAAATCACATGCCCAAATTGAATCTTCTCATCAAAATCCAGACTACATGATCTAGTCATGCTGAAGAGCTAATTTGAATATAACAATATGAAACAGAACCCCCATTGTTAATTTCCTATCATCTTGTTTAGAAATTCTATATTATTTGTATTTTTCATAATTTTTAATCTTTTTATTATAAAAACCCCTAGACTACCTGGTGCATTCTGTATTTTGGTTACTGGGTACACTTTTCTCTCTACAAGTCATAAAGCTCAGAGGCATCCTTAGTTGCCCTCTCTTTCTAACTCTTACAGCTCTTTTCATCAGAAATACTCTGGTCTTCCCACATTATCCCCTACTTGGTTTATTGCAGTGGTTTCCAAAGCAGTGCTATGCTCTGAGAGCTCAGAGGAATGGCTAGAGATCGTCTTGAAATGCTGAATCAATCGTGCATGCCATCTGCTGAGACATCTACAGTGTCATCCCTTTCATGCAGAAGCAGAGCTGACGTCCATGCCTGGCCCTGGGTACCATATGCATCTTTTCGGCTAATGCATGGCCTCACCCTAACTCACTGCTTTACTCTGACCTCAGAACATTCTTTTCTGCAGCACTCCTTGGTCTTCCTGCTCTATCCTTCAGCTAAATATGTTTAGGGCCAGTATCTCTTCCTCTTCAAATCTATTTAAACACAATCTTGTCAATGAGACCTGCTCTAAACGTTCTGTTTTAAATCACAAACATCCTCGCCGTTTGCCTTTCTCTTTTTCTCTGTTTTTCTGTCAGTCTTCACTTTCAATTGTATCATTTAATTTGCTTTCCTACCATGACCTTTGTCTATTTTTTTTCTCAAATTGAAGCATTGTCTCCCAAGCAGTAGAGGTCTTTTGTTGTTTATTCCAGCATACCTCAGTATCTACACTGATGTCTGGCTATAGTAGATATTCAACATATCTACTTAAGGAGTTGAAAGAATAAAATTAATAGTCGGCAAAGGGTACTTTAGTGAACATTAAAGAATAATTCCATAAACAAGTTTAGTTCCATGTAAATTTCACTGTGGAAAATTTTTTTCCACTGTTAAAACTACAGCAGATGACGTATGCCTCATGTAAAATACCTTTTAAGGTTGTGATTTATCTTAGTGACTGGTTCAATAAAATAATATTTGTATTGTTTAGCGTCTACAAACCAACAGATATCTGAGCATATAAAATATGGGCAAAATGAAGTCTTTGGTCAAGATTTAACTCTATAGTTAAAAATGACAAGCAAAAATAGCAATATATATGGATAAGGAAAAATTCAATACAGGAAAAGAGCATACACAGTGCAAACCACCAACAGTTCTTAGATGCATCAGAGAATTAAGGTCACAGAATAAAGGACGATCCCCAGAACTAGACAGCAGGTGATACCGAAAGCTACAGCACATGGGGAGCTGGAACTGCTGCACGGTTTAGTTACTGGTTATAGCATAGAAAGAGGGATTAATTGTTTGAAATCGACAATGGAATAGCCTTGGAGGCAAGACAAGAAGACCTCGCCATGTGCCTGAATGTTGCTTCTAAGAGCCTCATGTGGCCTCACGGTGAGAACTGGAAAAAAAATACCCTGGTACTTTCTGTATAGTGAAGGGGAAAATGACCATTCTGTAGTTTACCCAGAGCACTATGGTTCTCTTCTCAAAAATCCCTTGATGGCTTTTATCATAGCCTAATCTTCTATGTAAGGAACTTCAGCAGCCTCTGAAATTCCACTCAAGGAAAGAAAAAACCCAACTCCAGCTTCAGCTAACCAGTCTGACTCCCTGCAGAGAGGACAGAGTTGAATTGCATTTGTGAAGGTCACATCTCAGATACTCAGGCCCCCTACATGAATGAAACTAAATATAGATTACAGAAGGCTCCCAACCCCACCCAAACCTCACCAATACATCAACAGGGCTCCCGCATCACGACAGGAAATGCCAGCCCAAGGAATGACATTTAAGACCTTACCTAAGACAGAGTCATTAGGGAAATATAACAGAGAAGACAAAAATAAGGACATTATAGGCCATGTCATGCTCTGACATCTTCAA